GGGGATATGCCTCTCCAGGGCTCCTCCTTCCCACCCTCCCAGTGGACTTGAGGAAAATGGACAATTGAATTTGTTATCAGCGAAGGATAATGTACCATTGGGTATCAGCTTGTATCTGCAGTGTTAGCAATGTTATTGCTAGCATAATGGGAGCTTGTCTGAATGGGCGACTGAGAGAACATTATTAGTGGAGGTAAACTCATCATTCCTGACTGTCAGGGTTAGGGTGAGACGGTTTCACTAGTTTGCTGTTTGCGCTGGAGGTATTTCCTGGCAGGCGACTTTCTGGCCTCCTTTATATTAATATATGGGATGATCAAGATCTCCTCACTATTAACGATAAGCTGATCTGTGTCCTTATAGTGCAAAGTGCACAATTCTTGTAAGAATACAGAATAATGTACAATAAATAGTTCAATCACTTTTTCTTTTCTTTTTTTTGTCAAGTATTTGCTTTTTTTTTCTGCACCCAAATTAAATTATTATCGCCATTTATATAGCGCCAACAGATTCCGTAGCGCTTTACAATATGTTGATGATATAGCATCAAAAATTACGCAATACTTTTAGTATTCACATGTCATAGAAATTCCTCTGTGGATTAGCCTATACATATGCACTCTATAAAAACTCCAGTTGCTCAAGTTTTCATACTTGAAAAGAGGGAAATGTGTGATTGATATTTAAAACATAAATTTTAATAAGCAGCCACTATAAAAAGTTAAACTACCTATAAATGAAGGGTATAAAGGGGATCCAAAATGGAACAGTAGATAATCTGATAAATTCTTGTAGCTCTAAGTAGCGGTTACTGCTTAGAAGCTAGTTACAAATTCCTAATGAAAACCAACCTTAATAAAGAGAGGGGACGGTTTCATATAGTTTGAAGGTGGTTTGTAGGACAAATTTATAAAATCGGTAGACAGTCATTAAACTTAATTTGATATTGAAAAGCCTTACCTAGATGGAGGGGAACAGTTAGTGAGATAATATCCCTGGACCCTGTAGCCTACAAATTTCCATACTTGTTCCAGTCTTGCACAGGCACAATGCAGACATTAAGAGATCCCTATTTATTAACACTGAGCTGCCATTTGTCTGGCCACTAACTAAATGGAAAGGCTAAACGTTCACTTTCTGGAACCATTAATAAGAACTTTTGTCCATTTCCATGTAATGCTTCATTTTCTTTAAATGTGAATTAAAGATTTAGCAATCCGGCTCAGTCCTGGCACCGCCAGGGCACACGTTGCATTGGTAGAGGTAAAACAAGCATGGTTTTGCTTCCTCCTCCTGTCTCAGTGCTGATTGACAGGTGCAAAGGGTGGAGCTTTCCAGTTAACTTTCCTTTTTTAGACTTACATACTTGAATACAGAAGTGATACGTAAATATAATCTTGAAAAACCATGGGGTGTAAGTATATCTGTAAAGAATGCTTATCTTGCTTACAATTCTGTGTTCTCTGCACAGATACAATGTATGTTTTAGTGCTTACTTTATTGTGGTTGTTATTTATTTTTTTTCTGTTAAATAATACTGTATACTTTGCAGTATTGTATTTCTAATGCAGTTTGTGATTCTTGAAAAATATATATACATTTTTCCAGCTTACAAGGATTTCCAGTGAGAGCATTGGGTCTCATCAGGCATTTAAAACATCCCTGTACTGTTGCTGGGATATAATTGGCAGAACTGCGCAAATATCTGTTCCTGATTGGCTGCTTGCACCACATGATCTTAGCACCTTTTTATTATCACTAATTACCATTGAGAGTTTAAAATATGTAATTTCAGGATAACCAGCCACACTATGTAATTGTCAGATATCATCTGGTAGTTACAGATTCATGTCCTGCAGCTTGGGTCGATGGCAATAATATTATTCTCACCTCATCTATTTAAAGAATATTTCTGGTCTCCAGTTGGACTTAACCCAGGGCTGATCTTCTATTAGATAAAACAAACTCCATCATGCTTCACATTGCTTTCTATGTCCCTGCTACCTATCTCTGCCCTCATTCCTGTTCCCAATTCTTTCTCTCCCCCTTGCTCCATCATTGCTTTCTATGTCCCTGCTACCTATCTCTGCCCTCGTTCCTCTTCCCAATGTTCCCAATTCTTTCTCTCCCCCTTGCTCCATCATTGCTTTCTATGTCCCTGCTACCTATCTCTGCCCTCGTTCCTCTTCCCAATGTTCCCAATTCTTTCTCTCCCCCTTGCTCCAACATTGCTTTCTATGTCCCTGCTCACTATCTCTGCCCTCATTCCTCTTCCCAATTCTTTCTCTCCCCCTTTCTCCATCATTGCTTTCTATGTACCTGCTACCTATCTCTGCCCTCGTTCCTCTTCCCAATGTTCCCAATTCTTTCTCTCCCCCTTGCTCCATCATTGCTTTATGTCCCTGCTACCTATCTCTGCCCTCGTTCCTCTTCCCAATGTTCCCAATTCTTTCTCTCCCCCTTGCTCCATCATTGCTTTCTATGTCCCTGCTACCTATCTCTGCCCTCGTTCCTCTTCCCAATGTTCCCAATTCTTTCTCTCCCCCTTGCTCCATCATTGCTTTATATGTCCCTGCTACCTATCTCTGCCCTCGTGCCTCTTCCCAATGTTCCCAATTCTTTCTCTCCCCCTTGCTCCATCATTGCTTTCTATGTACCTGCTACCTATCTCTGCCCTCGTTCCTCTTCCCAATGTTCCCAATTCTTTCTCTCCCCCTTGCTCCATCATTGCTTTATGTCCCTGCTACCTATCTCTGCCCTCGTTCCTCTTCCCAATGTTCCCAATTCTTTCTCTCCCCCTTGCTCCATCATTGCTTTCTATGTCCCTGCTACCTATCTCTGCCCTTGTTCCTCTTCCCAATGTTCCCAATTCTTTCTCTCCCCCTTGCTCCATCATTGCTTTCTATGTCCCTGCTACCTATCTCTGCCCTCGTTCCTCTTCCCAATGTTCCCAATTCTTTCTCTCCCCCTTGCTCCATCATTGCTTTCTATGTACCTGCTACCTATCTCTGCCCTCGTGCCTCTTCCCAATGTTCCCAATTCTTTCTCTCCCCCTTTCTCCATCATTGCTTTCTATGTACCTGCTACCTATCTCTGCCCTCGTGCCTCTTCCCAATGTTCCCAATTCTTTCTCTCCCCCTTGCTCCATCATTGCTTTCTATGTCCCTGCTACCTATCTCTGCCCTCGTGCCTCTTCCCAATGTTCCCAATTCTTTCTCTCCCCCTTTCTCCATCATTGCTTTCTATGTACCTGCTACCTATCTCTGCCCTCGTGCCTCTTCCCAATGTTCCCAATTCTTTCTCTCCCCCTTGCTCCATCATTGCTTTCTATGTCCCTGCTACCTATCGCTGTCCTCGTTCCTCTTCCCAATGTTCCCAATTCTTTCTCTCCCACTTTCTCCATCATTGCTTTCTATGTACCTGCTACCGATCTCTGCCCTCGTTCCTCTTCCCAATGTTCCCAATTCTTTCTTTGCCCCTTTCTCTCTCCACTATGTTCCCTATTGCTCTCTGCCTCTTGTTCTCCTTTTTCTGTATTCTGATGCAGTAATTATAACCGCTTTCTCCATAAAGATCCTTGCTGGATACAATCTGGGTTTCAGTAGCTCTGATTATTTTGTTAAGCGTTATTCGAATAGACAGGACTGAGTGAAATTAATCAATCTAAATTCAATTAGCATCATGTTTAACCCAGTGATGGACGTCTCAAGGTGAAGCCACCATCAGTGCTTCATTCATTAGTATTCTGTCCACTTACATCCTCCTAAATTACAATCCACAGAGCTCCCTTTATAGCCACCATGGAGAAAATTATTCATCTCCGGCACCATCTCAGCCCGTACAGGGACAACACCAAACATCCTTACCCCACCCCTATACAACACAGGACATCCATACGTTCTGACTATATTGCACCATATAGCAGTATATCTCCATTTTGTATATTGTACTGCACTTGTATACCCCTCTAGTGTACATTTCACAACACTTGTATAACCCTCTGGTGTACACTGCATGGCACTGTGTATATCTCCTTGGGGAATACTGCATGGCACTGTGTATATCCCCCAGGTGTATATTGCACAGCACTGTGTATACCCCCTGGGTTATATTGCACGGCACTGTGTATATCCCCTGGGTTATATTGCACGGCACTGTGTATACCCCCTGGTTTATATTGCACGGCACTGTGTATACCCCCTGGTTTATATTGCATGGCACTGTGTATACCCCCTGGTTTATATTGCACGGCACTTTGTATACCCCTGGTGTATTTTAGATAGCACTGGGTATATCAACCTGGTGTCTATAGCACAGCGCTGTGTATTTTCTCGTGTATGTGTGTGTTGCACAGTGCTGTGTATTTTCTCCTGTGTGTGTGTGTTGCACAGTGCTGTGTATTTTCTCCTGTGTGTGTGTGTTGTACAGCGCTGTGTATTTTCTCCTGTGTGTGTTGCACAGCGCTGTGTGTTTTCTCCTGTGTTTGTGTGTGTGTGTGTTGTACAGCGCTGTGTATTTTCCCCTGTGTGTGTGTGTTGTACAGCGCTGTGTATTTTCCCCTGTGTGTGTGTGTTGTACAGCGCTGTGTATTTTCCCCTGTGTGTGTTGTACAGTGCTGTGTGTTGTACAATGCTGTGTATTTCCCCCGTGTGTGTTGCATAGTGCTGTGTATTTTCCCCCTGTGTGTGTTGCACAGCGCTGTGTATTTTCCCCTGTGTGTGTTGCACAGCGCTGTGTATTTTCCCCTGTGTGTGTTGCACAGCGCTGTGTATTTTCCCCTGTGTGTCTTGCACAGCGCTATGTATTTTCCCGTGTGTGTTGTACAGCGCTGTGTATTTTCCCCTGTGTGTGTGTGTGTGTGTGTTGTACAGCGCTGTGTATTATCCCCCGTGTGTGTTGTACAGCGCTGTGTATTTTCCCCTGTGTGTGTTGTACAGTGCTGTGTGTTGTACAATGCTGTGTATTTCCCCTGTGTGTGTTGCACAGTGCTGTGTATTTTCTCCTGTGTGTGTGTGTTGCACAGCGCTGTGTATTTTCTCCTGTGTGTGTGTTGCATAGCGCTGTGTATTTTCCCCTGTGTGTGTGTGTGTGTGTGTGTGTGTGTGTGTGTGTGTGTTGCACTGTGCTGTCTATTTTCCCCGTGTGTGTGAGTGTGTGTGTTGCACAGCGCTGGGTATATTCACACACTGCTGTTAGACTCCTGGTAATTGAATAGATGCTGTGACGTTGTGCTGGCTGATCAGTGGAGGAGGTGAGAAGCGGTGGTGGTGTAATTTACACTGGAATGGGCAGTGGGCAGCGCTGGAGGAGGTGCCTGTGTGGAGCAGACTGGACTTCCCGTCATATTTCATGCTGAGAGCCGTGCGCTCTACCCCGGGAATACACAACACGGCCTCTAATGGGATTTGGGAGCAGCATGTGTGAATTTGTTTCAGGAGTCTGAAATGAACAGATGTTGGTATAAATTACCTCTGTGTCTGACGTCTTGCAAATTAAAAGCGCGCCTGGCATTGCTAAACAATCTCGCCAGGTTTGGGAGGGAGAGGGGACAGGGCGGGGGACCCGGGTTCTGTTCTGTAAGCCTCCTTAATGTGAAGAAGAACAGAGAAGACCGGAAATAGAGATCATCATGGGGCCTTTTAATGCTAAGTGTAAGCTAAATCGGTGAATGTGTTCGCTGAGCTATATTGGGCCTGGAGGAATCCCACTGCGAATACATTATGGAGAGCCACGACTTTATCAGAAGTACCCCAAATAGTACAGCTCAGTGTAGTGGTTATGGTGTAAAGGAGCTGTGGGTGTTATTGTAGGTTTATGGTATGACCTTTGGCGCAGTTTTACAATAACTTGGCCTCTCTTAGCATCTTAACATCATGGACCTGCGGTGTCCTTGTGGCCTTGACATTAGCTGAGCAGCAGTGGAAGGGTTGGGATTTGGGCGCAGGGAGCGCATGATTTTTAGTCAAAAACAACTTGCCACTAACCAGGAAGAAACGTTATACCATATCCACTACAATGAGTTTTAGGGACTGTGGTGCTTCTCTGAGTGGGACATTCATTAAAAAAATTACAGTAAAATTGCAGTTATGATCCACCCCTGCAATAAAGCAATATATACAGGGCACCCACAGAAAGCTTTGGGAGAGACATAGTAGGCTGGATTGTAAACTCTACTAAATGTTGGAACGTCACAATGTCCGCATGCTTTATTAAGTTTTTCTCTACATTTGTAATATATTATCTATACCGTATAAAGCCTTGAGTGAAGCCAGACCTGAATCCCCATTTTTGTTTGCGGAAATAGGTGATTCTAAGAAGCTTTGTAAAATTCCAAACTGTGTTTTTATGTGTGCACTGTCCTTTTAATCTTTATAATATTGTCTGTTATAAGAGACGGGAAATCGTTTTCCACCTGAGTCGTGCACTTGGCCTGAAATAACGACCGCTCCTGTCTTATCTCTTCCAGCTCGAGAGATGACCCGTGGGAAGTTCCTCAATATCTTGGAGAAGGTGAAGAAGTGACTGAGTGGATGATCATTAAGAGAATTGACTGTGGACGTGTTATGGCGATCGTTCATTTTCTAACTCTGTCCATATGAGAGGACCCAGGATGGGTGTTGCTCCCCAGACCGCATTAAAGCACAGCCACTCTTAGTAAAGAGGCAGCTAAAACGTTTTTGTGAATTTTAAACTTTCCTGAACAGAAATCATTACTTTGAACAATGTGCAAATTAAAGAGATATTTGCAAATTGTCCAGTTACAATCTAAAAGCATATTTTTCAAAACTGTTTAAGAACAAGTTTTATGGTTGCTATATTAGTCTATGAAATGGCTATCAAAGTTTTGCTAGTTCAAGAACTTAAATTTCTTTACCTAACGTGGCACTCTATGCACCTCTGTAGTGGTTATGGTGCAAAAAGTCCACTGGTGCCTCCTCACAGTAAGAAGCCAAACAATTTTTAAACAGTTTGACACTAACCTTGGTTGCAAACGATACTTTTTTTTTTTTTTTTTCTTCTTCTTCTTTTAAAATATAGTCAAAGCAGATGTTCCCATTCTACTTTCGTAAATCTTTCGACCTCATTTATTAAATGTGCAAAATGTCTTTTAGCCAATGAATTGAACTTTAGTGATATCGTAGAAGACCGGCAGAGCAGTGGGCTCCTGAAGCATCCTAGGCTTGACTGTGATTGGGGGCCAGTGTCTACAACTATTAAAATATTCTGCTATTTAGTGGAAGTAGTGCCTTGTTACTTATTTAATATTTTTTTTCATAAAAGGAGCGATTTTGCAGGCCTACATAGTTAATTATGAGAGAACCCAGAATGAGGGAGATGGTATTGCATACCGGGATGCTACAATGGAGCTTAGAGTGTTCCTTTAAACTGTTACCTGCAACTGTATTCTAAATTACTGATCATGGAGCTCTTCAGGTGGGTGTTCACAAACTTCTACAATCAGTTGAATATGTTCACAAAGCTCTGGATGAGTTGGTGCTGTGTGACCATAGAGCGCTGCAGGTGGTTGGATGGGATCAGTGTGTTAATGTGCAGCTCTGCAAATGGCTGGGTGCAATGTGTGATCACAGAGCTCTGCCGGTGGGTGGATTGATGCCGGGTGTTTGATCACAGAGCTCTACAGGTGGGTGGTTTGCTGCCGGGTGTTTGATCACAGAGCTCTGAAGGTGGGTGGATTGACGCTGGGTGTTTGATCACAGAGATCTACAGGTGGGTGGATTGCTGCCGGGTGTTTGATCACAGAGCTCTACAGGTGGGTGGATTGCTGCTGGGTGTTTGATCACAGAGCTCTGAGTTGGGTGGATTGACGCTGGGTGTTTGATCACAGAGCTCTACAGGTGGGTGGATTGCTGCCGGGTGTTTGATCACAGAGCTCTGCCGGTGGGTGGATTGACGCTGGGTGTTTGATCACAGAGCTCTGAGTTGGGTGGATTGCTGCCGGGTGTTTGATCACAGAGCTCTACAGGTGGGTGGATTGCTGCCGGGTGTTTGATCACAGAGCTCTGCCGGTGGGTGGATTGACGCTGGGTGTTTGATCACAGAGCTCTGAGTTGGGTGGATTGCTGCCGGGTGTTTGATCACAGAGCTCTACAGGTGGGTGGATTGCTGCCGGGTGTTTGATCACAGAGCTCTGCCGGTGGGTGGATTGACGCTGGGTGTTTGATCACAGAGCTCTGCAGGTGGGTGGATTGCTGCCGGGTGTTTGATCACAGAGCTCTACAGGTGGGTGGATTGCTGCCGGGTGTTTGATCACTGAGCTCTGCCGGTGGGTGGATTGACGCTGGGTGATTGATCACAGAGCTCAGGATTATGAAGAATATATCCCCTACATGGAGCCTGAATATAGAGGAATAACAAAGTTCATGTTTCACTCTTTCCAAAGCCATCAAACACTGTGAGGAAATTGCCACTTACCCCAAGAACGTTTCGCCTTGAGACATACAGTTGTTGGAACTTCAAATGTTAGTCCAAAATAAATATAGCCAAGCTGGAAACATAGCTGACCTGCAGAGTTTAGATTTTTGTCTAAAAATTTTAAATTCACTTTGAACCCTAACCATTCACACTCTAGTAAATGGCCCTGTAAGAATCTTTATATACTATATGGATAATCGACTGTCACGTCCATATGAGCATGTTGGACATCCCATTTCAAAACTATGGGCTTAAAATGGTTATTCCAAGCACCATAACCACTTCATGGATTGGAAGTGATCATGTTGCCTGGGAGGGGCATAACTAGGAATCACAGGACCCCGGTGGAAGAATCAAAGGAAGGTCCCGTTACCGCCCTCCTTGCTTCCCCTAAGCAGTACATCTGAGTGGGATATGTGCGGTGGCTGAGTGTGATTCTGTGTGGGGAATGGTTGAGTCCGATTGTGTTGACGGAGTGTGATTGTATATGAGGTTTGGCTGCATGTTGAGTGATTGGTCCTGCTTGGGTCCCCTCCATAAACATAGCAAGCCCCTGTGCTGATGCTTATATCCTGGCTTCACTTCCAACACACTGGCGTCAGAGTATTCCCATACTCCGCCAATAAGCTCCTGCTGGGGGAGTAACACAGTGACACAGCCGTTTTTTAAATTAAAGCTCTTTAAATTAAAATTTCTGCTAGCACAATGTACAGATGGAATTTAATGCTCTTTAATATAACATACATTTATTAATAATACATGTATGTGTATGACCGGGTCAAAGGTGTGGGTGTCGAAGGAAGAGATTTAGGTCCCAGAATCAAAACCATCTGTATCCCCTTCAGGGAGTAAGAAAAAAAAACTACATTTCCCAGCAAGCAGCTCTACAGGTGAGGGATAACCAAGGACCCACACCTAACTTTAATTAAAATTTAAATGGTCTTTAACCCCTTAAGGACCAAACCTCTGGAATAAAAGGGAATCATGACATGTTACACATGTCATGTGTCCTTAAGAGGTTAACTGATCAGTGTAAGAAAGGCTCAGAACCTTTATTTGGTTGCTGGTTGCAGAGAGGTAAGAGGTTGATATGTAAACGTGGTGTTTTCACATGCTGTGTTTGGTAAATCGATTTAGCCATCCAGGGAGTGACTGTGTTATAGTTCGTGCTTTGGTGAGAGCTAGAATTTATTGGATGTTGTTTTGGAATTGCTGGAAATATAACCTCATTGGACTGTACAATAAATTGTGTTAAAAGACTACCAGATCATGTTGTGTCTAACCCTGGGAGACTGCTAAGATCCCTAACACTGTGAGGGTTAATTACAATATATGTGTGTGTAAACACACAAATTATTATTACAAATCGCATGACACAAACACTAAAAGATACGCCTCCACTGGTACACATACACTGACCCAGCAGCTTACTGACTGGCACACCCTCTGATACACTCACTGACAGACACACTGACCCAGCAGCTTACTGACTGGCACACCCTCTGATACACTCACTGACAGACACACTGACCCAGCAGCTTACTGACTGGCACACCCTCTGATACACTCACTGACAGACACACTGACCCAGCAGCTCACTGACTGGCACACCCTCTGATACACTCACTGACAGACACACTGGACTCCAGCAGCTCACGACTGGCACACCTCTGATACACTCACTGACAGACACACACTGACCCAGCAGCTCACTGACTGGCACACACCCTCTGATACACTCACTGACAGACACACTGACCCAGCCACCATCAGTACACCTCATTACACTCACTCACTGACAGACACATTTGACCCAGCAGCTCACTGACTGGTACACCCTCTACACACTCACTCACTGGGACAGACACACCTGACCCAGCAGCTTACTCACTGGCACACTCACTGACAGACACACTGACCCAGCAGCTCACTGACTGGTACACCCTCTGATACACTCACTCACTGACAGACACACTGACCCAGCAGCTTACTCACTGGCACACCCTCTGATAGACACACTGACCCAGCAGCTCACTGACTGGCACACCCTCTGTTACACTCACTGACAGACACACTGACCCAGCAGCTTACTGACTGGCACACCCTCTGATACACTCACTGACAGATACACTGACCCAGCAGCTCACTGACTGGCACACCCTCTGATACACATACACTCACTGACAGGCACACTGACCCAGCAGCTCACTGACGGGCACACCCTCTGATACACATACACTCACTGACAGGCACACTGACCCAGCAGCTCACTGACGGGCACACCCTCTGATACACTCACTGACAGGCACACTGACCCAGCAGCTCACTGACGGGCACACCCTCTGATACACATACACTCACTGACAGGCACACTGACCCAGCAGCTCACTGACGGGCACACCCTCTGATACACTCACTGACAGGCACACTGACCCAGCAGCTCACTGACGGGCACACCCTCTGATACAC